CCAAAATGTCAGTTCCTGTCCTTTCCTACTATTACAAGAATGATCCAGAATCTTCTACATAGTGACTTCTCTTTATCTAGTCCTCTAGCTATTCTAATATTGTGCAGTCATCTAGTACTGTATTTTTCAAATCATGAGTAGGGATGGTCATGAAATTATTTTTTTAAAATACATTTTTATTGATTTCAGAGAAGAAGGGAGAGGGAGAGAGAGAAACATCAATGATGAGAGAGAATCATTGATCGGTTGCCTCCTGCGTGCCCCCTACTGGGAATCAACAACTCGGGCATGTGCACTTGACTGGAATCAAACCTGGGACGCTTCAGTCCGCAGGCTGATGCTCTATCCTCTGAGCCAAACAAGCTAGGGCATGAAATAATTTTTTAGTAGGTCCCCACCAACATTTAAAAAAAGAAAAGAAAAAACAACCAGGGTATACTGTATATGTGGTTACATATAGTTTTGTGAATTTTCTGTTTTAAAATTTTAGGTATGTGTAATATTTGGTATATCTACATACTTATCAGGTGGTAACATAAAATATTTTTTACTAGAGTCATGATCACAATTCAGTAGCCACAGATATAATGGGCTTTATTACATGTTTAATAACTGTTACACATGGAGTTTCAACAACATAATTATTTAGAACCTGGGCAAACCTTTAAGGCTAGATACCATGTAAAGATCATCCTGCTTATTTGAAAGCAGAGAGTTCTTAGGATAGATAGATCAACAAATTGCAAAATGCACTGCTTGATTGGTATTTTAATATATGTATGCTGTAGACTAAAAGCAGAACAGTGTTTCTACACTTACATAATTAGCTTTCAGCTACCTGTGGCCTACTAGCTCAGTAACTCAGTATACATTCTAAGCCACTACAAGAGCAAATATCTATCCATAACAGAAAATAAAATTTAAAAAGAGAAAAAGGAAGTGACTGTAACTTCAATTAGATAAACTTTCAGATTTCACCACCAATTTCCCATAAAGCATATTGCCCACATCTGAATTTCTCAGAAAATTCATTAGTTGTTATAAGGACCTCTCTGAACAGGTGCTCTGAACACACTACTATATTTTCATAAAGCATAAGAATACAAATAAGTGATGCTTATCTTTGAGTGTTAAATTAAGGTGCAGGTATCTACAAAGGGGCATAACAAACCCTTGGGAGGACAGTGCTTTCTGTACCAAAAATAAAACTACTAAAGCTTTATAACTGTAGTGTAATACTATATATTATTGAATGCCAGGGGATTGATCTGTAAGAGGTTAGGTAACTCTTCATTAGACAGATCAATATTTCACTTGTAGGAAGTCATTCTGCCACCACTGACATTATTCCAAACAGGCTGGGACCCAATTCTATTCTCTTTTTGTATTACTTATCTCCAATAAAGTACATGGAGCAATGTTTGAAAAATCAACTGAGAAAACAAAAGATAAGAAAATCATATGGGTTCTCCAGTGTACAGGGGGCACACACCAGATCCAGCCAAAGAACATCCGGTATTTGATAGCATTTAAGACTAATGACCCAGGCAGGAGAAACCAAGATGGCGGCATAGGTAAACACCGGAAATTGCTGCCTCGAACAACCACTTCAAAAATACAACTAAAAGACAAAACGGACATCATCCAGAACCACAGGAAGGCTGGC